AAGCACCTCTTTTAGGAGCTTAGATGGAATAGGGTCTAACATACATGTTGTTGGTTTAGATGATTTAGTCTAGACCAGGGGTGGGGGATGTTGATCCTGGAGGGTCGCTGTCCTGCAGAGTTTAGTTCCAACCCTAATCAAACACACCTAAACAAGCTAATCAAGGTCTTCAGGATACAGGTAGGTATTTTTTTCAGGGTTGGAGTTGAACCCTGCAGGACAGTGGCCCTCCAGGATCAATGTTAACCACCCCTGGTCTAGACTTAATTATGCCTACTCTTGGATAGGGTTGGGTACCTTTAGGGTTTTTTACGATACCGGTGCCAAATCGATACTTTTAAAATGATATGTGGATAATGTGTGTTCTTTAAGCCATCTTGGATATTTTCATGATTAAGTATATTTAGAATCCATTACTAATCGACATAGTCTTTATTACAGTATAGAATACATTTTCTGCCTCATTCTGTGACAAGAAACCACATCAGATCACATAAGCATGTTAATTGGCTGATGTTGTGGAGTAAAAACATGTAACATGTAAAAACAATCATAATGTTCTCTTTTGTTGGACAACAGGTTTAGAAACACTTCTCATTGCAAGTTAATACAAGGGAAGTTTAGCTTTATGCATTTTAATTAACGCACGTTTAATGTAGCTAGGTAACAGTAGGTTACCTGCTGCCATCAGAGTAAAATGTGTTGGATTTGTATTATCAGAGCTTTCCGACTTGGAGCTGGTATCTATTATTGCCTCTTCCCTCACGGACAAGAGTTCAGAACATTGGTGATCTGTTGCAGTCCTTTCCTTGACAGGACTCAGACTCAGAACTGGTTTATCTGTTAGTGTCTCACCCTTGCAGACCGGAGACTCAGAACAAAGAGTGTCTTTTGGGAAGGTACCTTTATCTCTTTCCGATGAGGAGGAGATTGCAATCTGGCGCTTCTCCATTTCCAGGCTGTGATTGGCTGTTTCCATCAGAGTGGGGGCACACGGTGTGGCCCACCCTTTTTTCCTCCTATGGAACTTATTTGCATAGTCCAAACACACATTTAGAAAAGTGTCACTAAAGCTTTACCAATGCATTATTCACTTACCAAACCACAACCAGAATACATTTGGCAATGTTACGAACACATTAAGTCCAAACATGATGGAAGAAGACTGAACTGTCACGCATGCATTCATTTGTCCATTAACAGCTGAGTTTGTGTAAGATGAACTACATGTCACTGTCACTGAGAATACTTATTTCTCTGAATAAGTATAAGATGTGTGTTGTAGTTTGCATCAGTTTAAGATTTGAGAACATAGTTATGAATGGATTTAGATGGAACTTTGTTATCTCTCTTGGTTTCACCCACTGCTGCTGCATCCAGAGGTCCTAAGGAATTTTTATGGCGGTCACAGGCCAAAACCTTAGGAATCAGTCTGTTGGTGGGTGAAGGGCAGAAACTGCATTTTGACCAATGAGAAGTCCCGTCATTCCCGGGCTTTGTACCAAAGGTCTTCTTCTTGCCCTCTAAGAAGTGTCTGGCTGTTGTCCTGGCATCTTTATCTGATGGTGTTGGACAGTTTGCTTATGTTAGTCCACCAAGATCCAATCAAAATGTAGCAAACCTTTGTCCACTATTGTGGTCAGAGAGGGGCCCCGCCATAAACTGGGCCCTGGAATGTGCTGTCCACTACACCATTCTGAATACTACTGCTTAATGTGGTCATTAGATGTGCAAAAGTAAAAATTCCACACACACAATCATCATATTAAGTAAAGTTAACAGAAACCCCGCATACCTGTCTTTATATCTAGGATCCAGTAGCGTTGCAACTGAGTATAGTGGCTCAGATTCTACATCTCTGAAACGTCTTTCATGGTTTTAATATCCTCGTCAGCCTCGTTTTCTCGTGTGAGAGCACATTTATGGACAGTGATGATGGGGATGACATCAGCTGCAGAAGCAGATGAAGAGCTTAACGCTCTTGTCAGCTCCTCAAATGGGGCTAGAACTGCAATGGTTTTTTCCAGTAGCCCCCACTGGTTTGCAGTCAATGTGGCGGGCACTTCATATTCTGCTGTGTATGCGCTCAGGGGCCGTTTCTGTGCAATGAGTCTCTCGATCATATAAAAGGTGCTGTTACACCTCATTCGTACATCTTGTTGTAGCCACTTTGGTGGCATATTCAGCTCCACTTGAAGGTCCTCCAAGTGTGAATAGGCAAGAGGTGAATGTTTGAAGTGACTCACGATTTTTCTGCTGACAGCCAGTGCGTCACTTACACTGCACTGTGCTAGCAGTCCCTCGTTCACAATAAGTTGCAGGGTATGTGCGAAGCATCCCAAACTGGGAACTCCAAGGCGACCCATTGCTTTTATTATGTTACTACCATTGTCTCTTAAAATTACATGAACTTTATTCTTCTCAACTTTCCATATATTTAACATCTCAATTGCTACAGCGATGGACTCTCCTGTGTGTGAACCACGAAAGTGTTTAGCCTGCAGCACTGCTTTTTGGAAATTATAGCTTGAGTCGAACCACTGTGCAGTCAGGCTTAGTAATGACATAGGACACGATAGGACTTGATTTTAAAATAATTCCATACAGCTGACATGATGACCGCTGACAGGTCTCACCTGTCCCTCACGTTCTAGCTACTGTTCACGTGACGCCAGTGTTGGCAAGTCCGTGGTTTCACCTCCCCACCACGAAACGCGATTGGACAAGTTTTTTGAGTAGCAATTGAGAGTTGTTTTTTTTGGTGAAAACCTGGCAACCCTGCGTGACACATGCATGCTGCTCATCCCTCTTACGGCATGTCGCTCAGTCCTAATCTGTCATACAAATGCTTAACAACATCTAAGGTGCGTGCTCGTATCGGTTTATACTCCTTTGACTCCTACAATATCCGATCCAGTGATTTTGGCCAGTATCAGAGCGATACCGATTCGGAATATCGGATCGGCGCACCCAGGGCCGTTTTAACCATTGGGCTAGGCGGGGCTGAAGCCCCGGGGCCCGAGCAAGGAGGGGGCCCGTGATTGGCTGTGGAGTAGATTGACTGGAGCGCCGATCGCCAAAGCCACCACGCCCCCCACTTATTAGCGCTATTATTTAGTTGAGCTTTCCAGTAAATTCCATGCATTACCATTTGAGA